GTAAAAACACAAATTCCCATGATATTTTGGATGTCGATTTATCTACTTATTCAACTTATATTATTTTTAGCCCTGGCGAATAATCCGTTCCACATCATCGTGAGGCCATTCCTTGTTCATTGAGCAGAGCCAGAGGAGAAATCCCTTGCTTGGCTGGCTCCCGCAAATATTCTTGGTGAAAATAGTGCCTCAAATCTCACTGAGAGTCTCGACGCGACGTCAGTATCATAATGGGCCCGTTAATGGTCGGTTTATTCGAGGCATCGCATCGAGATTATATCGCCAAGCTATCACAGAAAGTAGTTCAGCTGGATGGAATTGTTAGAGCGTGATCTCGTGTTCAAAGTAACGCGTAATGGGACAGGTCTCATTACACATGTGTTGTGGACCACATACTTAGTGTTTCACACATTTACTGTACACCCTGTATAGTTGTACATCCTCATTCAGTTCTGTTGTAGCAGAGCTGAAAGTACCTGTCATATTAAGGAGGTTAAAAGGCTTTTTGGCTTTGATAATATCTGTCACTTTACCTTTTTTCCCTTCAACGTAAGTCAACGGCTCGCTGGAAGCGGGCAACACGCGGTGAAGCATTTAGTTGACCTAAGCCTTCCTTAGAAAGTATGTGTTCACGGACGGGCAGTTTCAACGCCAACAACTTCGATGGATTTATCGATGGATAATCTGGTTACCACAGGCGGAGATCGTCCTAGGATGTTTGTTCCTAACACACTTGTAGTGGGAGCGTGTGGAGAAGCCGCGAGCTTAGTCCGAGATCACGCGGTCCCCATTTAGATCACGAAGCGATAACACAGCGTTAAGCAAATTTTGCTGCGTAAGAGCAAGGATTATTGGTATTTTTATCGGAGATACATTGAAGCCGGTTCCGTCACCTGGTGACATTGTCGGTACACACGGAACGTCCCTTAAAAATAAGCGCTAAAAAAGGCCATGGACTCGATATTCTTTCCACCGAATGTGGCGTTTCGACAACGGTCGACTTTCTGTTATGCCGTTAAGACAACAGCATGTTGTACGATTATGTACAGAATCTCCGTTAGCTTTGTGGCAGCATGGCGAGTAAAGCACTGCCAAAGAAAGGCTGATAGTCTCTGTACTTATGACCCTCCTACGATTGAAAGCTTCCGCCAGACCCCGAAGACTCTGAAAGATGCGAATTTGATTGCATTGCGTGAGAATCACTCTCGGCGTCGAGTACGTAACGTGGTCAACTGGTGAACCCGATGGAAGCAGTGACTGCTGCTACCGAAAATCCAGAATCAATTGATCTTAGCGCGGTGACTGTCTGTAAACAGCAAGTTTGCAGTTACGGATGCGAACAATTCGGGCGCATCCATCGCCATTGTCTATATAAGAGACAAACCTTTTATTACGGTTCTCGTCGTACCGGTCCCGAGTCACGTGGTTCCAATACCACACGGCGTTCGGGAAATGCCGGTACCTAGTAGGCGCAGGGCGATCTGCTGGAGCAATTAGAAACTCTTGTAAGTATGGTGGTAGCATCACTCACGCGGGTTCAGCCTTGATTGATCGTTGTTCTTCGTTAACGACACAAGTCTAAGGGGTCTCCTTGTGATCAAAGCGAGTGTGAAGGGTGACGGTTGTCCGTTCATAGCACTGATTGACTCTGGCGTGTCGGGTGACTATGCGCGGAAGCAAAGTGTTGCTGAAAATGATTCAGTGCTTTTGGATGCACTAGATAGAAACAATGGTTTTATTTTAGAAACGCTGGTCACGGGTGAGGTGGTCACTGAAAAGGGAATGACAGTTGATCTTTAAGTGAAGTTTGGAGACTACAATTCGATGTAGGGTTTTACAGTCCTTGATACAGACAAACGGTATTCCATCAGTTTAGGTATACTGTGGCTTGAAAAGTACGAACCATGTATTGATTGACAATTAAAAATAATTTGGAGTAGCTCTCCTGGCGTACGTGAATCTCTCGGGAAAGATGAACCCACTTTCGCTTTGCACCATAAGATAAACTCAAGCGCTAGGCAGTCGTATGTTCAAGAAAAGACACGGAATCGTATGGAGTGGCCACGATTGCTCGGTCGGGAAGTGTGTCGATGGATGAATGTTGTGGACGTGTGTACTGGAAAGGCAAACGAATCGGTTGTGACTGGATATGCCAACACTCCCACTAATAAAGTGGTAGTGGTTGGTCGGATTGTGGATACAACTGACCACAAAGGTGATGCTCCCACCGGTTCAGTGGATGAGCACCCACATGTGAAGAAATCAACGAAATTCGTTGATCGCGGTGTTAATTTCCCCGCGGTTGGAGAGTAATTAGTTCATTGTACTACTTCCCTTGTTGGATATATAGCATGCGAATATGCTGGTCCACGTTTTGTGGATGCAACGACTGGTTGTGAAGTTACAAAAACAGATGAACAGATGTTTTTGGCACGGTTGCCGGCGATGAAAGAGCAGATACAGCTAGAGAAAGCCACTTATGATGACTTCCTTCACAACCTCAAGTGTAATGATATTGCGGAGGACGTGTTGCTACGGCCGAATGTCGACGCAGCGAGACTACGCTCATCATCGGTTTGGATGATTCGGTTCTCGAAAAATTTCGCAGCATGTGGAGTTAACATTGAAGGAACAAACTGATCCTTCCTATTCACTTGTTATGGAATATAAGGATGACGTCCTTAGTGCGAACCCGCCCTCTGGTCTTCTACCCGAACAAGGAGTTCTCCAATAAATTTATCGTGAAACTGGTTCAACGCGTGCAATGTTTTGAAACTGGCCAATGTCGCGTGACCAAAGTGAATACATCCATGCGTTTTTTGCTCAAAAGCAAGCTGCTTAATTAGTGAGGGAGAGCAAGTCCACTCATATCGCACCGACGTTCAGTGCGCGTAAACAATTGGTTAATGGCGTATTGTTCACGCCTATAATAAGTTGAATGCGATGACGATTCTCGCACAAACGCCGATCCGGCTCAAAAATGTCATTATCCACCGGGTGTCCAGCTGTACGCAGTTCAGTGTACTAGATTTGTTCCATGGAAATTACCAAATCGTGATGAGGGAGGAGGATGTCTCTTTGACGGCTGTTACCATATCGTCCGGTATATTATTTGAGTGGCTTGTGATGCCACAGAAATTATCCAGCACCCCAGCAAGGTTCAATCGATTGGTATACATCAGTAGCGACCATTGCAACGCTTCGCACAATCCTACTTGACGATATATGTGTCCATTTGGAAGATGGCAGATCTGCCAAAAAATGCACTTGGAACACTTCTGTGCGTTACTGGAAAGTAAGCGTGAACATTTATTGCAAGCGAAACATGCAAAATGTATTTTCGGTGCCAATGAAGTAACGTTTCTCGGTCGTTATGTTGCTAAACACGGTGGTTGGATAAGATCAAAGCAATCAGGGAGTGATCGACGCTACGAAATCATAGAGATTTGAGAAAGTGGATTACTAAGTCCAATTACTTGCATTGCTTCTCGAGTAACAACGCCGCGGTGGTCCGCTTGCTATCAAACTTGCTGAAATAGGACGTACCTTGGGAGCGGTCATCCACTTGTGCAGAAGCATTTACTCAGATCATGAATAACTTGATGAAAGTACCACTGCATGCATTACCAGATGATGCGAAGCCGTATAACGTGTTGTGAGATGCTTCTGAGTTTGCAATCGGTTGTGCATTATTGTAAAAGGACTCAGAAGGACGCGATGGTATCGTGTCGTTTCAGTTGCAACGGCTGAAGCCAGCAGAATGGAACAAGCCTGTCCGCGACAAGGACCTTTTAGCAAATGGGTTCAACTCCGTTGGACGACTACACGATTCACCAAGCTTGAATTATCCGGTTCAGTCGCCGTACTTGTCACAGCGAATGGCTCGCTGGTTGTCATTCTTTGCAGAAGACAACTCCCCGGTCGCGTAAACGTCAGGGAAACTAAATGGTGCTGACATACGAATTGTCGCGTCGTCCTGATTATGAGCTAGCTCATATCAGTGATATTTAAAGTAATGCATTCGATACGCTACACCGAGCGTATGTTGAAGATGAATAGTGTGATCTGATCATCAGAGGATTATCATCGAGTGATATGAAATCCCATGACAAAATTTTCGATCGCTTGGAGTCAAGTTTGCATCTTTATTGCATGAGATGATGGTTTCCTTTACAACTAAGTCGCACGTGACGACTGCCACGGATTGTGGTTTCCCACAACGATGATTTTGAAGTACAAAATAGTGCTCGAGATGCTTGATACGCCGTTTGCTGGTCTTTTTGGCCGTAAGAAGACCTGCCAATCGCTCAGTGGCCAATTTCGGTGACACCATATGTACAAGTGAGTGGCACATAAAGTGAAGACGCGCGATGTCTATCAGCGCGTGAAAAGCGCATGGTAGGTAGTCTTCCTGTTCCTACTGATATTTGCAGTCAGTCCGTCTCGACTTTATTTTTGGCTTCCCGGGAATGCTGACGGCAACCATTGGGGTACTCGTCCTTGTTGATTGAATCAGTTCGATGGTTTGCATCGCACCGTTTAGCGATTCTATTAATGACGAGGGTTCGAATTGATTTTTCATTGATCATGTGTTTCGCAATCACGGGATGCCAGACGCCATCGTCTCATATCGAAACACACGATTTAAGATTGTTTTTTTAGACTAGCTTGGATATGTCTATGGCGGTAGAACCGGAGACCATGGGCAAACAAAACGTTCCAATCGAGTGATCGGTGATGTGTTGAGACGTTTGTGCGAAAAAGTCCGCGGAATAGAGCTCGTTATTATCATAAGCTGAGTTTGCTATGAACAATTTAGTTCATTCATCCAATGAATTTACGTCTTTCTTTATGAATGGCTTGCGACATCTGCAACTACCGCTTCGTGCGATGGGTGTTGTCTCTAATGTGGGTCGCAGCAAAGCCTCCCAAATTGATAAAATAAATGATGCGCACGTGAAGCGCAAGTATAAGAACGCCTTAATTCATTCATTATGTGCCGTGTGAATGTGATCAAGACGCACTGGCGAATGCACACGATCTGCGAAAGAAACACGCAGATAGACGAGGGGGGATGTCATTTTTTTAAGGGAAGCTCAAAGCTTTTACTGGCAAAGTTCAAAACTATTACTGGCTTCATCAGTTCATTCCGATTACTGTCATGCCATGGAAATCCCGACACTATCGACCTACGAAGCTGGCTTAGAACCTATTCGACTTTCCACGTAGGGGTCCTCAAGCCCTACTATCACAATGACGCGATTTTCAGCCTGGATTTATCGCAGTCTTTTTTGAAAATGATTCAGAGTCTCGGCTTCAGCATGAGGGTCAATGGTTGAACCCATTGGCGTCTTCGCCTCAGCATCGTCTCAAGTACAGAATACAATGCGAGGCAAATGATACGGTCACACCGGAAGAGAAAAGCCTTAGGGTTCAGCCAGTGCTATACACTTACTTGTGAAACGGGCCGTCAAGTTGTTCAATCCTGTCCTCGAGTATCAGCACCATCGGCCAGTCTGCCAGCTCTAGCAGATTTTAGCTTCTTATGAGAAATGACTTCGTAATTGTTAAATATGGGCCGTCTGAGCAAGATGGAATTTTTGCTCAGTTAGCGACACAGTTATCGGTTGTGTATCGATAAATTTATCCACATCAAAAAATATTGTCAGCATGGATTGCCGGGGGCGATTATCTTGCATGAACGTCCGCCCTTATGTGTATCAGATTGGGCATTTCGCTGATGGTTCACATCGCTCAGTAGATAAAGGAAGCTCTGAGAATAAAAAATAATGACTCCAAAAGCTCTTATGGGCAAAGTCGTCTCTTACCTCGATGTTGCCTCATCACGTTTTGAACTGCGCGAGAATTTGCACTGAAAAATGGCGCGGCTGATGTAAGGTCAGCTATCTTATTGAGCTTGCGCTGGTCGGTGTAGTAGACGCCTCTCCGCCTCTTTTTAAGAAATACTTCGGATTACCACCGTATCTCTTCACATCATCATAAAGTTGCTGTTGACTTGGTGGGGAAAGGGTCATCAGCTCGTCTACAATACGTTACAAAGTTGGTAATCTCACTTCAACGTTATTGAGCGTCATGAATCGAGTGCGCGGCGCTTAGATGAGCCCCTGGGTGTGAAAACTGATATACACATGCAAGAGGCAGACGGAAGACGAAATTGCAGTGGGTAAAAAGAAGTCACGATACTCTCACAATTCTCCTAAATATGCGCTGTGGGTTTTTCCTATGACTAAGTTGCTACTTCAACATTGAATCGTTTGCAATCGTTATCAGAAAGGACCCGAGCTCTGCCCTTTAATAACAAAGAGAATGCGAACACATCTCAAGAACGTGGGTGTATCTTATTCACCGTTGATTCTACTACTGGAATGTACGGCGTTCTGTAACAAAAATTGCCCGCCCGAGAACACACATTCTGAGAAAGGCTTAGGTTAACTGACATGCCTTGCCGCGTGTTGCTGCTTTCAGCGAGCCGTTGACTCACGTAGCAAGGAGGAAAGGTGAAGGGACATTTATTACTAAAGCTACCTGAAAAGTACCTTTACTTTTGATACAACAGAACTGAAAAAGGATGTACAACTATACAGGGTTTACAGTTGATGTGACACTCACGAGTATGTGGTCTACACAAAATGCGTCATGGAAACTGACTCATTACACCAACCTTTTCTCAAAAGCTGGTATACCCGAATTCTGCATATTCATTTCAACTCTCCTCCAAATTCTTCTTCAGATTTTTTGCAGCCTTTTCTTGAAATTTCTTCAGACTTTTGCTCAAACTCTTCCAGCTTTCATCAGAGTTTCTTTTAGATTCTTCTTATTTTTTTCCGCGGTTCGTGACACCTTGTTCAACTCCCGCTCGAGCAACAACCCACATTCTTGCTCCACATGAGATTTTTGTAATTATCGAGCTTGGATATTTTTCCGATACCACGTCATTCAACGCATTTGCTCTATCGTGAACTTGATCAACACGACGTCTTTTTACGAAAGACGTGGGGCTCAATTCTAGAGTTTGACGAACTCTTCAGTCGAATGGGTCGCGACTGATGTGTTCTCTGTCATCAGTCGGCTTCACGATGAGACGGCCAGGAGAAGAAGAGTAAGGGACAACTTCCTAAGTGAAGTCCGCCTCTGAGACCCCATCGAACGCGCGGACGGGCTCCCACGCTTTCTCGCTTAAGGAATACCTGAGCCATTTCACCAGGAGCTCCTCCTGACCGCGGACATTCCTCTCCGCCACCACGTTCTCGACGTAGTAGTATCGATTCCCTTGTCGATATCGAAGCAGACGGGGCGGCCGCCCCGTCTGCTTCGTCTTCGGCTGATCCAAAGCCTTCGTACGTCTTGTAACTGCGTTTGACCAACGTGGAGAAGCTTCTCATGGTGATGAATCAGCAGCTGGTTGAGATGACCGATCGCGAGTCGTTGATACGACAACGCATGAAGGGAGCCTTCGCGAAGATCACTATTTTGCATGACGTCATGGAAACTCGCCTGGGAATGCGATGAAGGGTTGGATCTACCGATAGAAAAAGCTCTGCGAGCTCTACTGCCTGCTGCAGTTAGTTCTGCTGATGATGCAGGGCCTCCTACCAAGCAATCTCACTCTGACTGGGACA